GAAAACCTTTGGAAAACAAGACGACTTTGCAGTATGTTTTATAAACTGAGTATGCTTAATCTGTTAAGTGGTAGTTATTCCAAGCCTGCAATTCTGCAAAGGTTGTGACTATGGATCAAAAGTCCTTCAAACAAGTTAATCAAAGATACAAGAAACCATTTGATTGCATTTTTTTAAAGATTGTGTGTCAGCAGTGAGATGGGTCTTGTTATCAGATAAAATGACTAATTTCTCTTGAAGAGCCAATTTCATATTTGGGATCTACAGTGAAAACAAGGATTGGTATCAATTGTTTCCTTTGACCCCAGCAATTCATTTCACCTGAATTAGTCTGATTGACAAACATACCTTTAACTTCCTTGGGCCTTCTTTAGCTGAACCTTTCCTTTTACTAGGGGTAAGCATTGTGATCATTTTATCCAAGCCCCTTTCAAGGCTCCCAAACATTTTGGCTCCTTTTCTTTTTTGGCCACTTTCCAGGTGCATCTGATTTAAGTCCAGCTCCACTGAATGGCACCTGTCATAATGAGAACCAGCACGCAGGTGAGTAGACTTAATGCTGCTCATTTCAGCTAGAGCAACAATGGATCTTCCATTTCTGTTTCAATAGCAGGAAGTGGAAGGAGGAAGAAATTAGCAAAAAAAGAGAGAGAGAGCTTGCTGCACAACAGTCATTTGGGATTTTGAGAGAGAACTATATATGTGCTCCAATTCTCTGGGGGCACAAAAGTGAATTTTAATTATGGAAAGTAGGAATACATCCAAGACTGCTGAAGTGTGTAATGTTTTTAAAGAAAGGCCCACAGCCTTTTAATATTTGTTGGTAAATGTAAGAAAGGATTTAAATAGGTTTAACGCAGCCAGCACTGATACATGGCAAAAAGCACTTTTCTTACCAATATAAGAATTAAGACTGGAATAACTGCTGAACATTTACCTTCTCTCAGGGCTAATGACGCTGGCTGTCAGCTCATCTGCTTTAATAGGAGTATTTACTGGCACTGGTTGGGCGGCTGGATTTTTCTCTGCAAGAAGAACCATTCACGTTTGAATCACTAGGTTTAGAAAGAGAGTTATTTCTTCTTATACCCGTGCTCAAGTTAACAATTAACAACATGAAAAAAATGGAAGGGGAGGGAGGAAAGACATGACCAGGTTCAGTCTGGTTTGAAAGGAGGGTTAAAGAAGCTAATAAGACCTAGCCTGATTTTTAGCATGCTAATGTAAGCCCTACCCCAAAAATAAGCCCCAGCTAAGGTTGTCATTACCTGGGGGTGGGGGTATGTGGGTAGGAATGGCGAGCACAGGAGGCTGTGAGGGGGCCAACAGTATTCTGCAGCAGTTACAGCCAGCACAGTACAGTTGAGTCCAAGAAGCAGATGGAGACAGAGGTGGGGCTGAGGCACGCGATCTGGAAGCGCCGCATGGGGAAGCCAAGAGTCGATGGGCTTGAGAGGGCAGGCAGATGGCTCGTCTTTGCACGGCAGTACCACTAGGAGATGGAGGCAGAGGCATGGGGGAAGGCACATGATCTGGGCGCACCGCAGGAAAGCCAAGAGTTGGTGGAGCAGGTGGCTGGCCATGGGAGACTTGCCTTTGCATCACTCAACTTGCCTGCAGCGCATCCGGATCGCCTCCCTTCCCACCCCCCATGCCTCTGCCTCCATCTGCTGCCAGTATTGCTGCGCAACAACAAGCCTCCCATGGCCGCCTACCGGGTCAACGAACTCTCGGATTTTCCATGGCCCGCATGGCACGTCTGGATCATGTGCCTCTTCCCCGGAACCTCTGNCAGTCCCTCAAAAATTGAAACACTGCTATCAGGTCAACTCATGCAAGTTTGCCTATTTATCACCTGAGCCCATTTAATTTGTCATTACTTTCTCTCGAAGCTGGGGGGTGGGGTAGGAGAGGACGAAACACTAAAGTTTAGGAAGAATGCAAAATACGAGGGTTGAAAGAACTGGGAAACTGTTGGGGTAGGTGGTTGGTTCAATTAAATGATAACCCTCCTTTTCATGGAAAGTTGCTGTAGATAATAAGGGAGTTTTCAAAATAATTCTGTGAAATTGCATAGATAAGTTTGATGGAATGCCTAACAGACTTTGGGAACCCAGAAAAGGCAGCAAGACAATTAAGAGAGGAAAGAGGGCCATTGGAGGAAAGGGTCCTGCATTCAGGGTGGGGGACGGTGGGGGGCCTCTGTTCTCTAAAAGAAATAATATCCCAAGAGGATTGCCTAAGTCCACTGTCTATCTAAAATAGCATAGCATTTGGGACCTGAGATCTTCTGCTGTCGTTTCAAGCCTTTAGATGAAAAACGCAGCAAAGTTAAATCCACATTTATTTGAACAAAACCCTGAATTTAAAATAAATGTTCTTTTCCTTCCCTCCCCGAAGATTAGACAGGGGAAAAAAAACTCACCAGCCTTCATTAGCATATTCTCAGCAAACCTAAGATAAGCTTTCCATTTAAGGGTAAATAATTTGGGGAAAAATTAATCTTCCTTTCAGACAAATACAGCAGATTATCTGGTAATTACTCATTGCACTTTCATTGACTAAATGGGTTGATAAATTTAAAACCATTACTTGAACTGGACAATGTGACTGCAATCGATTGTATTTTATTCTTTCTAGCTTGTTAGACAGAGCTCGTTAAGATGGAGACATGCAGGATGGCTGGTATATTACTGTGTATTAAATTTCTTATCCGCCCATTTTAACAGAGAAAAAAACCCAAGGCAAGCTAACTGTTCCATAACCCCATGCGAATCAGAGAAGCAAGATAATAAATGTTCTTGAAATGCAGCATTGTTGTAAGGCTTCACACAACTCCAGTGTGTGAGAAAGCCCGTTACTGTCTTTCAGGAAAAAAAAATGTCCAGGCTGCAGACAAAGACCCTGTCCAAAGGTTGAAATTCAGCATAACAACAGGAAACACTTAAGAGAGGAACCAATCTAGTTTTCAAAGGCAATGGCTTGGGGGCCCTGGCTGCCCCCCAACTCAGCTGGTTCAGACACAGAAAAGCAGGCATTTTGATCATCTGATTATTCCTTTAGTGCAGTAATTTGTTTTCTACCCGGGAATATTAGGCATAAGAAATCAGCACCATAACTGGGGGAAAAAGGAGCCTATTTCACACATCAGAGCGTGTAAGATAACTTGAATCAATTATCCTCTGCTTGTTTTTAGTTTAAAAGAGGAAAAGGGGAGAAGCGGGAAGGCAGAATCCCAGAATATATGGCTTTTTATCACAAGCAGAGGTTGTGTGCATTTGTTATCAGCAGGACCAAACAGTTGTTAAGAGCAGGTCTACTGCATTGGGATGAAATAGTTCTTCATGTTGGAAGATTATGAATATGTGGAGGTGCCTAGAATAGGCCCAATTATTCAGAATTAAATGGCAACAGAAATGGAATAAAGCTGTCCAGCTGTAGGGTAATAACACATGCAAGAGTACCCAAATACCACAATTATCCAAGGATACAGGATGTTTTATATGAATCAGATAAGGAGAGCAATGTTTGGCTTTCGAAAGTGATAGCTAGTTTCAAACCAAGCATGAAAACAGCAGCCTTCCACAATATACAAGTATATGAAGTCCACCCAATCCAGCCTTTGAACTTGCCTCTAAAAGATTTGCTTATGAGATGCTGATCAAAGATACAAAGTAAGACAAACACTCATTCTTTGATAATAACCACCATATATGCTTGTGGATAAGCAGAGAATTTTAGATGCCAAAACACACACACATGCCTAAATGGGCACATCGGTGCATAGGCTTATCCATGAATATATACAATAATACTTTTTAAAGTACCGTATTTTTCAGACTATAAGATGCACTGGTATATAAGACGCACCAAAATTTCGAAGAGGTAAGTAAGAAAAAAAAGTTTTTGTCCTCCCCAGCCCCCAGGAGTACTCTGCAGGCTTCAGCAGGGCTGGGGAAGGGAAAAAATGCCCGTTTTTTTGCAAACACAGGAGCCCTTTTCCCTTCCCCCAACCCTGCAGAAGCCTGCAGTGCTTCTGGGGCTTGCAGGAAGAGAAAAACAGCCCATTGTTTGCCTGTTTTTCACAAAAACGAGGGTATTCTTCCCTTCCCCCAGCCCCGCTGAAGCCTGCACTGTGTTTCTGGAAGCTGGAGGAAGGGAAAAACACCTCCGTTTTTGCAAACGGGGCTTCGAGAGGCCACAAATGGCTGTATTCGGTGTATAAGACGCACCAAAATTTCGAAGAGGTAAGTAAGAAAAAAAAGTTTTTGTCCTCCCCAGCCCCCAGGAGTACTCTGCAGGCTTCAGCAGGGCTGGGGAAGGGAAAAAATGCCCGTTTTTTGCAAACACAGGAGCACTTTTCCCTTCCCCCAACCCTGCAGAAGCCTGCAGTGCTTCTGGGGCTTGCAGGAAGAGAAAAACAGCCCATTGTTTGCCTGTTTTTCACAAAAACGGGGGTATTCTTCCCTTCCCCCAGCCCCGCTGAAGCCTGCACTGTGTTTCTGGAAGCTGGAGGAAGGGAAAAACACCTCCGTTTTTGCAAACGGGGCTTCGAGAGGCCACAAATGGCTGTAT